CCCACACCCACACCCACACCCCCACCCACACCCACACCCAAACCCACACCCACACCCACAACCCACAACCCACAACCCACACCCATACCCCGCAATGTCTTTGATTCACAACACTACAAAAAAGGCGACAAATTTATTGTCCTGCGTAAAAGAAACAAAAACAACAATCACAATTCTTTTTTCACAATATCAATGTTATTTTTAATAGCTGCAATGTGTGGATGCGTCGGAGGAAAAATTGTCTCCCAGATATTACGTGTTACTTCAAGAAATGAAAGACCTTCCAAATACTTGCCCATGCAAATATACACAGCAGCGATGTTGTTGTAGGAAGTACCCAAGTCCGGATGATTCGGAGGAAGAGCTACTTTTTGGATTTCAAGCGATTGTTCATACGATGAAAGTGCTTTCGAGTATTCGCCCATGTTATAATACACCGTACCAATGTTGAGGTAGGAAACAGCCAAGTCGGGATGATTTGAAGGAAGAGCTATTTTGCGAATTTCAAGCGATCGTTCCAACGATAAAAATGCATTCGAGTACTCGCCGATGTGTCTATACACGTTACCGATGTTGCTGTAGCAAGTAGCCAGGTCGGGATGATTCGAAGGAAGAGCTGTTTTGTAGATTTCAAGTGATCGTTCGTAAGAAAAAAGGGCTTTCGAGTACTCGCCCATATTTTTATACACTACACCGATGTTGTTATAGGAAGAAGACAAGTCAGGATGATTGGGAGGAAGGGCTATTTTCCTGATTTCAAGTGATCTTTCGTAGGATGACAATGCTTTCGAGTACTCGCCCATCTTTCTATACACGTTACCGATATTGTTGTATGAAGAAGCCAAGTCGAGATGATTCGAAGGGAGAGCTATTTCCCGGATTTCAAGTGATCGTTCGTACGATGAAAGTGCTTTCAAGTACTCGCTCATGTTCTCATACACATTACCGATGTTGTCGTAGGAAGAAGCTAAGCCAGGATGATTCGAAGGGAGAGCTAGTTTTTGAATTTCAAGTGATCGTTCGTACGACAAAAGTGCTTTCGAGTACTCGCTCATGTTCTCATGCACTGAGCCAATGCTGTTGTAGGAAGAAGCCAAGTCGGGATGATTCGAAGGGAGGACTGTTTTCTGAATTTCAAGTGATCGTTCGAACAATGGAAGTGCTTTCGAATACTCGCGCATGATAGAATATGTCAAACCTAACATGCTGTAAGAAGAAGCCAAGTCGGGATCATTGGGAGGAAGAGCTATTTTCCGGATTTCAAGTGATCGTTCCAACAATGGAACTGCTTTCAAATACTCGTTCATGGTAGAATACGCCAAACCTAGCTTGTTGTACGACGAAGCCAAGTCGAGGTGATTGGGGTGGAGAGCTATTTTCTGGATTTCAAGTGATCGTTCGTACCATGAAAGTGCTTTCGAGCCCTCGCCCATATTTGAATACAATGTACCGACATTGCTGCACAAGAAACCCAAGACGGGATGATTCGAAAGGCCAGCTATTTCGTAGATTTCAAGTGATCGTTCGTAGTATGAAAGTGCTTTAGAGTACTCGCACATGTCAGAATACATCCTACCTATGTTATTATATAAATAAGCCAGTTCGGGATGATTTGGAGAGTGAGCTGTTTTAAAGATTTCAAGTGATCGTTCGTACCATGAAAGTGCTTTCGAGTTCTCACCCATTTTTGAATACAAATTAGCGATGTTGTTGTACGAATTAGCCAAGCAGCGATGATTCGAAGGGAGAGCTATTTTTCGGATTTCGAGTGATCGTTCGTGCCATGAAAGTGCTTTAGAGTAATCACGCATTATATAATACAAATTACCGATGTTATCGTAGGAATCAGCGAAGAGAGGATGATTGGGAGGGAGAATTATTTTTCGAATTTCAAGTGATCGTTCATACGACGAAAGTGCTTTCGAGTACTCGCCCATTTTTGAATACAAAGCACCAATGTTGTTGTATGTACTATGCGAACCGGGATGATTCGAAAGTAGCATTGTTTTTTCGATTTCAAGGGATTGTTCGTACGACGACAGTGCTTTGGAGTACTGGCCCATGTGAGAATGCAAATTACCGATGTTGCAGTATGTACAAGACAAGTCCAAATGTTTCGAAGGTAACATTGTTTTTTCAATTTCGAGCAATTGTTCGTAGCATGCAAGTGCTTTGGAGTACTCGCCCATATCTAAATATGCCAGAGCAAGTAGATGACTGTAATGCAGTCGATGCAGATCGGAAGGTTCATTTTGGATGAGCATCTGACAGAGTTGCTCGGCTTTTGAAGGTTCATCCAGTTTAAGAAGGATCAACGCTAGTTGAGACCATCCTGTGGTCGCTGTTAAATTTATCTCGTCACGTATATGAGCTGTTAGTGCATTCAAATCGTGATTTTCGTTACCAATGATGGTGAGACTGACTTGCCATAGGCGATCAGTATGCTCGTCGGGAATCGGCTCGATTTGGTCGATGCGAAAAATGGTGTGTGTTGCGAAAAGAATCTCTTCTTCTTGATCTTCAAAGAAGCCGATGCTTCTTACGTCGGCAAAAGGAATGGATGATGTTGCGCATAGTATAGGATCAATGGTCATAACGAAGAATATTCCAACAGCGTTAGAATTATAAATTGCGGCTGGCCTTGCAAACAACTCCAAGGAAACATTGCGATTGCAACTTGTTGAAAGAAAATTGTTGAAAGACATAAGCCCACCTTTTGTTTTGTTCATTTTCTCGAAGTCTTGGATAGATAAACTTTGACCTCGATAAACTTGAAATGGTGCATTAGCGTTGGTGCTGTACGATTGCTGTTGTCGATGTAAGCTTTCAATATGCCGATGTAAGTGTCTAATAAAGAAACCCATTTTGAGTATAATGTCAACATCCATCAATCGAAGACCACGATTGAGCATGGAGTACATAAAATATGGTGCTGTATACCACCAAATGGGTGTGTGCAGACAATATTCTTGTTCGACCTTATCAATATAATCTTTAGTGATATCACCTCGAAGTCGACAGTACTCAACGAGTTCTGTGACGGATTTATCGTCGTCATCATCGATTTTCAAAAATATTTCGTTAAGCAATTGCGTATACATAAACAACGGATCAATGCCACGAAAACTGATCGAGATATTATCTCGGTCACAATGTTCACAATCGACTTGTAATGCTTTACAAATCGGTTCAATTTGTGTGTAAACACCTTTTACCTTAGGTATTGTTTTCGCCCATTGCTCATGAATCGACTGATTGTCACAGAAAACATATATGGAGTCTAATTGTGGGCATTCTTGAATTTCTGGTATTACATATTTTCCCTGTGCACCAGACACAATCATGAATATTTTTTCATTTTCAATATCACTGAGAAAATCAATGCATTGGTCAGCATCAGTAAATGTTGTGATTGTTGCTACGATAGGTTGTAGATTCTGTATTGATTTTCTATACTGATTTGTCGGTCCATCGAAATTGGCATCAAGCCAGATTAGACGAAAATTTTGAAACGGCTGACGCACACGTTGAGGCAGCACGATATTTCTATTCGTACCTTCTGTTGTTCCATTACTACTATCATTAGTAGCGGCAGTATCACCGTTTGTCGATGACGCTAGAGATGACGAGTTTTTCGGTTTATGCATAGAGGTGGACAACGGCAAAGAGGAAGAAGAGTCACTAGCAGTTGCTGGCGTTGATTCTTTTCTATTCATGATGATGATTGTATTGTTTGCCGATGAACAAAAATAAATGAAAACAAATGTAAAAACTTATTGAAGATGATGAAACAAAGGGTATGGAGTGTGGGTGTAGATGTGGGTGTGGATTTGGGTATGGGTTTCGGTGTGGTTGTTGTGTGGATGTGTGGGTATGGGTATGGGTGTTGTCTTCCCTCCATCCCGGTGCCCACCCGCACCACAATATTAATTTAAATTGGTTTAAATCCAAATGAAATTTAAAATAAATTTAAATCCATTAGAATTAATTTCTGAATTTAATAAACTTTTGTAGATGTAAATTTATTCCCCCATAGTTCGATAGAGTTGTGCTAGAAAATTGCTTCGCTTTCGATCAAAGCAGTGTGCAAAGTTTTCGAACGAAAGACCATCGATGTGTTGCTACAGTACGAATTAGAAACTCTGGAAAGATACCAACAAAGTAGACGTTCAAAGAATGACATCACCATTTCGTTTATCAGAGCTACCTGATATATGCTCACGCATATTGCGTCCAAGCCCACTGAAAAAGTTTCGCATAAGTCGAAAATGACATCGCTCATACCCATCTTTTCGATTCTCCGTCACTCGATGAAACGTCTTTGCGAAGAACACTTGCAGATGAACATATCCTTTTCGGCTTCCAAAGTAGTCCAAGCACTGAGCAGAAAATGAGAGTTTGGAAGGTTTTGAAAATTGCAACAAAATCGAAACCCTTGTGACGTACCGTAAAAACCGGCAATGCCTATTTTTTCTCATAAAGAACACCGCCGGATAAGCTTAAAATTTGCTTTTCATCGGACGTTTTCCTCACATAGCTGATGTGAAAGAGCATATTTTTTTACATTGGTCCATGTACTTGCTTTAGGTTTTTATTGATATTTCTGTATAAAAAAATGGACAGCTTTAAACCCCTATATGTCGATTTTTTAGTGACCAGGACTATTTCATTGTGCTGTAGAAAAAGATCATACCATTTGTCGTTGAATATGTAAATTCTAACGGTTATACATATGGACCTTACTCGTAAAAACTGGTGCTACACAAGTTCTGTTTATTACATCTTTCTGACGAAATAAAGGTCTAGCTAAATTTCAAAAAAATTCAGTTATCTTAAAAATTCAGGTTTCTTAGGTTTAGTCCCGAGCTATTTTCCCCGTGTAAAAAAATAAAAGAGAACTGAAACTTTGTGTAAAACTTCCCACTTTTCTCTCTAAAAAATTCACTAACTTTAAAAATTTTCACAACACTCCGATAACCACTTTTAGCGGTTATTTTCTCGTGATATCGCGTTTTTCAGGTTATACCATAGTGCAAAGCCAGGGAGCTGATCGATAACTAATGAAGTCGATGCTTTCAATAAACTTGGTTCCTTCTATGTTAACATTTCGCATGAGGTGTCTGACGGCGATTTCTGGTGGATTCAGTCTTATAGCACTTGTTCGTGCGGTGCCTCGGGGCCGATTGATATATTCAATGACTGTTTCATGTATACTGAAGTAAGCAGCTGATGATAAATATATTTTCTTTATCTATCAATTTGATAATCGATCGGGTTAGTTCTCGTATCACTCGACAGCACATTTTGAGCGCTTCAAAATGCTCTTTAACCGCATAGGAAAAGTCACTGAACTCTATGGAAAAATCTGAGGGGAACGTTGTGGGGCTAGGATTTTATGCTATTTTTTGAATGCTGTTTACTAGATTGGGTGTAGGTGTAGGTGTGGGTGTGTGGGTGTGTGGGTGTGGGTGTGGGTGTGTGGGTGTGTGGGTGTGGGTGTGTGGGTGTGGGGGTGTGGGTGTGGGGGTGTGGGTGTGGGGGGGTGGGGGGGGGTGGGTGGGGGGGGG